CTGAATATACAATTCACATTTCCAAAACATATACAATGTTTATATTACATTAACATAACATAGTTTTCAATACATGCTCAAGCATCAACAAATAAATCTAGATACTTTTCACGGATTTTGGCTTTATGCTCCGAAGTGGCCTCTTCAACCCTGTGGTATTGCCATAACATTTTTATCAAAGGAATCGTCTTGCTACACAAGACTTGGTTTTGAGCATCTAAGACTTTAACCGGTCTCTCTTCATACAAGGCGTTCTCATCAACCTCTAACTTAGTCCACTCCAACACGTGTGAAGGATCCGACTCATACCTTCAAAGCATAAAAATATGAAACACGTCATGAACCCTGAAAAGCTGTGGCGGTAAGGCCAAATGATAAGTTACCTCCCCAATCTGCTTTAAGATCTCAAAAGGTCCTATAAACGTAAGACACAACTTTATGCTCTTTCCAAACCTTATCAAACCTCGCCTAGGTGATATCTTCAAGAAAATGTGGTCTTTCACCTCAAAGGATAACGTCCTCCTCCTACGGTCGGCATAGCTCTTCTGACGACTCTGAGTCGTAACCAACCTCTTTCGGATAAGTGCAACTTTCTCCGTCATTTTTCGGACCAACTTTGGACCCAACATAGCTACATCACCCACCTCGGCCCAACACACAAGACTAGAAGAGCTCAAACGATGCCATGGCAATACTCGACTAGAATGTATTGTTGTAGGAAAACTCCACTAACGGTAAGTGCCTCTTCCACAACCCCTTAAAGTCAAGGACACAACCTCGAAGTATATCTTCAAGGATTTAAATAGTACACTCTGACTGCTCGTTAGTCTGAGGATGATAGGCAGTACTAAAAGTCAACCTATTGCCCAAGGCATTCTGTATGCTTTGCCACAACTGAGCCATAAAGCACAGATCTCTATTTGAAACAATAGTCATTGGGATCCCATGAAGTCGAACTATGTCCCTAATGTAAAGGTCGGCTAAATAATCTACTGAGTCACTCGTGCGCATAGGTACAAAGTGTACTAACTTGGTCAATCGGTTAACTATCACCCAAATGGTATCATTACCCCGTTGAGTCCTCGGAAGACTCACAACAACATCCATTGTGACATGCTCCTACTTCTACTCAGCTATAGGCAAGGGCTGCAACAAACCCCCTGGCCTCTGATGTTCGGCATTCACTTATTGGCAAGTCAGGCACCTCGATACAATCACGGCTATATCCTTTTTCATTCCCTTTCACCAAAACTGGCAACTAAGGTCGTGATACATCTTTGTGCCTCCTAAGTGCACCACAAGGTGTGAATGGTTCTCAGAGTACCACCTCTCGACAAGCTTCCAGCACGAAAAGACGGTCAAGATATCTAACACTTGAGTCAGAATACACGTTCAAGCCTTTATGTGATATCCTTGTTCCGTAATATGTTAATTGGTCTTTAATATGAGTAGGATTATGTGTTTAATATGATTTTGTGTGCCATTATGTGAAAATATGTGGTTTTGAATTTCTATCTGTTCACCGTAGGAATATCTGTTTGATTATCTGCTTTGGAAATTTAATTGATGGCCTTATCGGCCATAGAACCCGAAATTGATTATGCAATCGTGATTGGCATAATTTTTAGAGCCTACGGTGAAATTTAATTGAAAATTGATTCGGATCAAAATAATTAGATTCGGAACGATTAATTAAGTGCTCAATTATTTTAATATTAATATATTTGATTAGTGGGACTTACCTTAAGGGCACTATACACCCAAAGTCTCTCTTTTATTTCATTTGGCTGGTTTTGACTCCAAGAGAGAGAGAGAGAGTCAGCTATAGCGAGAGAAGGGGAGAGAGTTGTGCAATTTTAGCTTAAAACTTGGAAACCTTGAAGATTGCTTAAGAATTTGCCATAGATTGTGAGAATTAAAGCTCCTGGTGAGTATTTCATGGATTCTAGTTTGTAAATTATGTATTCAAGCTAGTTGGGTAATCAAGAGCAAGAGTTGAAATGAATTTGAAGTTAAAATGAACATGCATGTGCCTAATTGTTACAATTTTGGGTGTTCTAGCATGCAACATGTTAAATATGAAGAATGGAGCATCAAACCTTACATACATGAGTAGTTTGGTGTAGCTCCATGATTTGGAACATCATTTGTACCATTTGTAACAAAAATGAAGTTGAAATTCACATGCATGCATGATTGAAGAGGTTATGAAATTAGTATGAGTTTGAATGTATGAGTTTGTTATGTTGGAGTTGAGTTTGATGTAAATTGGGTCATGCATGTGATTAATTTGTGAAATTGGACTTCATAATGTTGTAATTGGGTGTTTGTGTCATGATAGCATAAATATATTTGAATTTTGAGCCATGGCATGGAAGAAATGTTGGTTGGAATGTTGAATTCGAGCTCAAGAACTTAGCCTAGAATTTTGATGTTCGCTTGAGCGGGGGAACTGACGCTCGAGCGAGGATTTCGAGCTCCCAGTATTTTTCTTGCAGACATAGTGTCCTCTCGAGCGGAGAAGTTTACGCTCGAGCGGGGGTCTTCGTAGGATGAACTTCAGCTTGAGCGTCCGAGTTCACACTCGAGCGTAAAAATGATACATCCAGTACTTTTTGTAGACATGGCGTCCGCTTGAGTAGGGAAGTCCACGCTCGAGCGGGGAGCCATGTAGAGAGGCCTTCCACTTGAGTGCCAGAGTGCACGATCGAGCGTAATTTCAACATATCCAATACTTTTGCAGGCCTCAAGGGTCCGCTCGAGCGGGGACCCTGTTTTCTGAAATTTTGTTTATGCGTTCTGTGTTTCGTTTTCTATTCTCCTTCACTTCTAAGTACTCTTAGGCATGCATTGAGCATTGTAATTGAGTTAAAGAGATAAGAATAAAGCCTAAAGAGGAAAATGTGAATTTAAGAACGGGTTGAATTGTTGGTGACCCTTTTTGTGTTCATAGACTGTGTAGGGTTGAGCTCCAGGGCAAACCAACCAACCGATCACTGTGAGTAATATCGATATTTGAAACTTGTCGTTTATCCAATTTCTTATCTTCTTATAAGCCTTATAAGTTTGCCAGTTTGGATTATGGACAAACATTTTGACATGAATGAATGGGCCGAAGGCCGTTTTGTCATGAATGAATGGGCCGAAGGCCGTTTTGTCATGAATGGATGGGCCAAAGGTCATTTTGACATGAATAGATGGGCCAAAGGCCGTTTTGACATGAATAGATGGGCCAAAGGCCGTTTTGACATAAATGAGTGGGCCAGAGGCCATTTTGACAGGAATGAAAGATAAACGGGCCAAAGGCCAGTATGTTTGAAACTACAGTCACTTGACTTAAATTGTGTATATAAATGTTAAATAAAAATGTGAATTAGGCCCAAGGCCGTTCGGAGTATGTTGTTCTACATATCGTTTGTATCTTCTTATTTGATATTATTCATTGGGCTATCGCTCACGCTCATTTATGTATTTGTAGGTGAGCCAAGAGAGGTCCAGACCCAGCCCCAGTGAAGTCTGTGTGGAACAACCGAGTTTTGGAGAGTCAGCCCTAGTGTCTCATGCATGAGACTCGTCTTCGCCTTTCTGTCATGCTATGTTATTTTTGTCATGTTGGCGAGGACTTCGCTTGTGTCTGTATATAATTTTCATGGATTGACTTAGTTTTTGGATGATCCTGTTTGTGTAGAACTTATGCTACTGTATTTCTGTTGTGAGTTATTAAGGTATATATGTTTGGTTGTTTGGATGTGCCATGTAAGCACAGCTCTATGGACAAAGTTTTGATCTGCTTCCGTTTGGCCCCCATTAACTCTGTTAAAATACATTTGTTTTGGTTTGAGGCTGCAGGTAATCTCATGATTACTAGCCGGTTATGTCCTTAACCCATAGGGGCGGGTTCGGGTCATGACACTTTCTCTACCTTCCCTCTAGTTATTTTCTCATGGAGGGTTTCTACCTCAAGATCACTCTTCTATGCTTTTGTAACTCGGCTCACAAGTGTAGGTTATGCAACCACCAAAAACAAAGTTGCCGACTTAATGGACTCGCCAAGACACAAGTCAAATTCACTAACAGCACCCAACATTTTCCATTCCTGGATGGCAATACTCATTACACTGCTAATGGACTTTCTACTCAAGGCATCAACTACTACATTGGCTTTCCTCAGATGATAGTGTAACTCAAAATCATAATCCTCCATAAACTTGATCCACTTTTTTTGCCTCAAATTTAGGTCTTTCTGTGAGAATAGATATTTCAAAGTCTTATGATAAAAAAACACCTCAAACTTCTCATCATAAAGGTAATGCCTCCAAATTTTCAAAGCAACGATCACAACTGCTAATTCTGAATCATAGGTTGGATAGTTCCTCTCATGTGTTTTCAACTGATGTAAGCCATAAGCTACTACCTTCCCTTTCTGTATCAAAACATAATCCAAATCTTCTCGTGAAGCATCACAATACAAAGAATAGCCAAACCCCTTTCTGGAATGATCAATACTGCAGTAGTGGTAAGTCTTACCGTAAGTTCTTGGAAAGACTTCTCACAAGTCTCATTCCACATAAACTTGATTCACTATCTCGTTAGTCTAGTCAAACACTACTGGAAAATAAACTTTTAGTGGTGTTTAAGAACGCCGCTATATCTATAAAAAATGCTGCTAATTCCATTTGCGACGTTTTGTACCAAACGTCGAAACTGCGGCCGTCGCTGTATCTTTACGACGTTTTAGAAACGCCGCTAAATGTCCCTACCATGACGTCACTATGATTTTAGCGACGTTTTCAAAACGCCGTCATATATTTTTTTAAAAATTGACCGTTAAGTTTTTGGAGTTTAGGTGGCGTTTTCAAAACGCCGTGGAATCCCCTTATTTTTTTTTTATTTTTTTAAATTGTGCTAATTTTATGTGATTGAACTAAAAAAATACCTATAAAAAAATTGAATAGCCTTAATATGAAATAATAACTCCCATTCAAATAATAAATGCAGCATTAATTCACTTTCCCATACAATTTAATATCCAATCATCATTATCCACAAAATAACATATTCAAAAATTAAATTCACAATTCTCAACCAAAAAATTAGCAGTCCTATGGCAGTAGAAATCAACACCAACCAAAAGTCACACATAGCCTTGTTCTTATCAACTAGACCAACTTGTATTACAAAAGCTTTTGTAAGATAATTTGCTCCCAAAAAATGAAAAAATGGATCATTATCCACATCCATACTAGATCTACCAGGTGTCTCTGGAGTATAAATTGCAGGAATCACATCAGGCTCCCTAGCTAAGAAGACAATGTTCACCACCCCATAATTTCCACTTACAAATGGTTGGTGCTCATCATGCCGCCATTCTCCATCAACAAAAAACTTGTACTGCACGGAAATGAAAACAACATATCTAAACATCAGATACTAGAGATAGAAGTACACTTTTAGGATTGTTGATGTAGATGAACTCATCTCTTTGACTAAACACTGAATTTCATGATTAATTTGTTAATCTTGCACAATATTTCTGTGAATATCATGTCCGTTATATACAATTTTGAAAGAATTAAAATGTATAAAATGCATGCACCATTATGCAACTATGGGATGCATGTTTACTTTCTTCAACCTGTATAATCTTCATTTAAGACAACAATATGGTGTCTCATTGAGATTTATATATATAAGAAAACAATAGCAGTTGCTAAGTAAATTTGACATGGAAAATGATCAGAACAATTACCTGCCTCATGTCTTCCATGTTTAATGGCCTCAGAACAATTAACCTTTCCTCTTTACCTTCTTCTTTCGTATCTGAAGCATCTTCAGAGCTCTGCCCTTCATCAACTCTTTCCTACTTTTTCTGTTCATCAACTCTTTCCTTCTTTTTTCTGTTCATCAACTCTTTCCTTATTTTTCTGTGTAGAAAAAATTAATAAAAAAGATAAATTTCGAATAAAAATCATCATGCACAATAATCAAAAGCAAGTAAGGGAAAAATGAAAATTTTGATTGGGGATAAGATCTTAGAATGTAAGAGAATACCACATCCTTTAGTCTCTCCTTTTGTATTAGCTCCCTAACGGGTCGATACGCTGCTGTGATGCACAAATTCTGTTTTCAATAGAGTCAAGGTGAACATTTAGACACAGCGTTTACTGTAGAAATCAAACTCAATAATTCCATTAAAACAGTACAAACCTTAAGATGGCTTCCGCTATATCCTTCTGTCATGGCTGCAAGCTCCTTGAAGTCTAGATTTTCTACTTTTTCCTTTCCCAAAAGCGTCCTCAGGATCATTTCCCTGCTCTCCACGGATGGGAGACCAACCATAATTCTGTTCACCAGAAAACACAAATCTCAGTAAACTTAATCTCTATGTTTGATTTATGTTTCCATCTTTTTGTTTTTGTTTTTTGTGTTTTGAGAAACAAAACCAATGAAAAGTTCAAAAAGTGCGTACATATGAACAGGTACCTGCACTCAAACCGACTAATAATGGCTTCGTCAAGGTCAAATGGCCTGTTTGTCGCGGCAAGAACAAGAATCCGCTCACCCGGTTTTGTCAACAGCCCATCCCAATGTGTCATGAACTCATTCTTAATCTTCCGCATAGCTTCGTGCTCCCCAACTCTTGTCCTTTGCCCGAGCATGCTATCGACCTCATCTAAAAAAATAATAGTTGGAGAAACCTTTGCTGCGAGTGTGAACAAAGCTCGGACATTCTTTTCATCTTCTCTAAACCATTTTGAAGTGATGGTCAACATCGAGACGTTGATGAAGCTTGCTCCGGCCTCATTGGCAATGGCCTTTGCCAGCATTGTTTTCCCAGTACCCGGAGGTCCAAAAAGCAATATACCCCTACAAAGCTTAAGAAGTCCCCCATTGAAGAGGTCTGGTCTTCGAAGCGGGAGCATGACCGGCTCTTGAAGTGATTCTTTAATCTCATCCAAGGCACCGATATCTGCAAATGTTACTCCAATCTCGATTGCAGGAATAACCTCTGGCCTTATGCGTTTCTCAAATTCGTTGTCGGGAGGAACTTCCTATAGGAAACCACGATGCATAGACACACATGTTGTTAGGAAGTTATATTCTTTCTTCATGTACTTAACAAATCCTTGAAAGTGCAAGACAGTGCAATATTAGGAGAGATTATATCAATTATCAACTAATAATATACTTAAAACTTTCAGAAGATGGTGCGGAAGAGCATTAGTGTCCAACTGCAACAAACATTTATCCGTCGGTTCATTTTTTTGTTACTTATCACCATCTCCCTTTTCAAATAAATTTATCAGAGATGGGCTTACCGGCTTTGATGGCGGTGAATTCTCACTATCTTTCTTTGCTGAAGGAACCGATTTCTCTGTCTCGTTTTTGTTTGCATCAGGCTTTGACCCAATTATCTCTTCCCCATCGGAGTCCTAAATCGATAGACAAATGAAGCACAGTTAGTTAAACCCTATTAAAAATGATAAAAATCAATTCCACTACTCTCGTCAGATTGTTAAGATGTAGAACAAACCTTGGAAGATTCAGCATTTGTCTCTAGTTTTAGGGAATCTTTCCTACCCGTTCTTCCCTCCTGGAAGATACTCAACCCACGGGACAAACTGTTCACATCACAAGCAATTTTTTTATGTTTTGGTTGCGATCTTGAAACTAATGTGCTAGTGATGTATTAATGTTGGTGGTGGTGGTGGGATGGTGGAGGTGCGGTAGTAGGATGGCGTTGGTAAGATTGTAGTCCACAAAAGGTCTTTCACCTTTCAAAATTAGAAAACATTCTGTCCAAATAAATTTATTTTTCATTGACTTTCATTTTCTGTTGTTCAAAACACAAAAAAATGTGGAAAATATTTTCTAGAAAACATTTTTCGTCATAACAAATGGAGAGTAAATTAACAAAATTATCCAAAAAACAACATGCATAAATGGTATAAGATTTTGAGTTTTGAAAGAAGCAACTCGGCTATGGTTATACTACCTTGAAAAGTGACTGTAAGAAGAGTTTCTCATCAAAAGACCAACTGCTTATGCGCTTGAGAGGAGCTAAAAAACCAAACAAGTCTCAAGAATCAGTAAGAATAGCAAAGCTAAATCTTGACAGTAACTATTAAGCAACCATCTGCATACAACAGTATTAATGGGCATGAGTCTCGTGCCCCCAATTGACGCCTGTGAGACTTAAACTAAACTCATGACCTCCTCTCCACCAAACCACTTGGGAGTAGGCACCTTGCCACCAAGTCACCACCCTCGGGGTGGTGATTGATATTGTATTAATCTCAAGCTTATGGAAACATCAGTTAGCCCAAAGGGCAGGGGTAGAGAGAATGCTTATAGCTTCTTTTTATCCTCTTACCCCATCATTTGTCTGATACAAAGCATTATTATGGGTTAGTTCTCAATCTAAATTGAAATATTTGTCAACAATAAAGCTTCAGTCAGTGACACAAAAGAGTGCTGAATCAATTCGTCAAATGTAAAACAGAATATAAATGGAAAACTTTAGAAAGAAACTAGTTTTTTATTCAAAAAAATAAAACTAAATAACCTAAAATGCATTTTTCAGATAATTTATCAAAACATTTTAGAAAATAACCTGTATTAGAAGAAAAGCACTGAGAACTGATGCTGCTCGTATCAGTAGAAGTAGAAGCATTTCTACGATGTTTTGAGGGGTCATTAGTAAAGAGAATATGAATCTTTTATTTTTCTAAAAACAAAAATATCTCAGTATAGATATATTTATATACAAACTATTTGTAACTCTAGTAACTAGTTAACTAAACCATGGTGCAGTTAACCATAACCACTTCCTAACTAACAACTCACTATAACAACTCACTATATGTATAACACGTGCATCTGTTCTAACGGATTGCACAACAGCTCTAACAGATTACACAACTGGCACTTCAACTGCTTCTGCAGATATAGGCTTGTGGCTTCAACTACTGTAGCTCTGCTTCTGTTTCTGTAGATCTAGACTTCAACTGCTGCAGCTCTGCTGTAGCTGTAGCTGTAGCAGCTACATTATCATGCCCCCTCAAGCTGATGGGAGAGGGAAGAACCATAAGCTTGGACTGAAGATAGGTAAAGCGGGAAATAGACAGAGGCTTTGTGAAAATATCGGCCACCTGATCAGAAGTGGGAATATGACAAATGGTGAGTTGTTTAGCAGCTACCCTTTCTCTAACATAGTGATAATCCACCTCTATATGTTTTGTGCAGGCATGAAAAACAGGATAAGAAGACAGAGAGATGGCAGATATATTATCACACCACAATGTAGGAGAAGAAGAAGGACAATGCAGATCAGATAGAAGCATTCCCAGCCAACTTAACTCAGCAGCAGTGTGAGCTAATGCCCTATACTCAGCCTCAGTGGAGGATCTAGCCACAGTAGGCTGCTTTTTAGCAGACCATGAGACCAGATTTGGACCAAGAAAAACACAGAAACCAGTAGTTGACCTTCTATCCAGAGAATTACCAGTCCAATCAGAATCTGAAAAAACATGTAATGTAAGAGGACCAGGACTAAACTGAAGACCAAAACCAAGGGTACCTTTGAGATATCGGAGAAGCCTCTTGACCATAGCAAAATGTTGAACAAGTGGTTGGTGCATAAACTGACATGCAAAATTGACAGCAAAGGCAAGGTCAGGTCTGGTGATGGTGAGGTATTGAAGACCGCCAACAATACTGCGGTAGAGTGACGGATTGGAACAAGGCAAATGATCAAGAGGAGAAGAGGAAGAAGATTTAATAGCCATGGGAGAAGAGTAGGGCTTGCAGTCAGCCATACCAGCTTTAACAAGTAACTCAGAAGCATACTTTTGCTGAGATAAGAAATAGCCCATAAAAGATGTTGACACAGAGATGCCAAGAAAGTAATTAAGCAACCCAAGCTCCTTCATAGCAAAAGCACCATGCATTTGATGAATCAAAGCAGTTATATAAGAAGAATCACTACCAGTTAACAAGATATCATCAACATAAATGAGTAGAATAGTAATGGAGGCTGTTGTTTTCTTGACAAACAAGGAGGAATCACAATGACTAGAGATAAAACCACAAGACAGTAAAAAGGAAGAGAAGGTAGAAAACCATGCCGGGGAGCCTGTTTAAGACCATAAAGAGCTTTATGCAATTTGCAAACCAAATGAGGATGAGAGGCATTAATGAATCCTTGAGGTTGTTGCATATAGACTTCCTCCTCCAAGACACCATGTAAAAATGCATTGGAAATATCAAGCTGCCGAATAAACCATTGAAAATGCAGAGCGAAGGATAGAAGAACTCTGACTGTAGGTTGCTTTGCAACAGGGCTAAAAGTCTCATGATAATCAATGCCCTCAGTTTGAAGAAACCCTTTGGCTACAAGTCTAGCCTTATACCTAGCAATGGATCCATCTGAATTTCTTTTGAGTCGATAAACCCATTTGCAGCCAATAGCAATTTTGTCTGGGGGTAAAGGCACAAGAGACCAAGTGCCTTGTCTTTGCAAAGCTTGAAACTCATCTAACATAGATTCTTGCCATTGAGGAGATGCAGCAGTAGCTTGAAAAGTAGCAGGTTCAGTAGGTTTAGTAGGAGAAGAAGAAGTAGTGAGGAGGCAGCCAGCAGGGAGAGGTTTAGACTTAGACCTGGTGAGCATGGGATGAGTATTTGAAGTAGAAGAAGAAAAAGGTAAATCAATGGAGATTGAAGAAATGGGAATTGGTGGAACAAAACCAGAAACTGCAACTGGTGCTGGTGCAGGAACAGAACCAGAACCTGCAACTGCAACTGGTGCAGGAATAGAATCAGCAACTTCAATATGTTCAGAACTAGAAGAGGGAGACAAATGAGAACCAGACAAAACTGGAGCAGAGTGAACAAGACTGACAGCAGGGAGAGAAGGACCTGTAGGAGGAGAAACAGGACAGGAATGGACTGAGCCAGTGGCAGGCCAAAAGAAAGTTTGCAGCTGAGAAAGTGAAGGAAGAATAGACTGAGCATGAGACATAGAGTGAGACTGGAATGGAAAGGTACACTCATAAAAAATAACATGCCTAGAAACAAAAATATGGCCAGTAGTAACATCAAGACATCTATACCCTTTGGTAGAGGGAACATAACCAATAAAGACACAAGGGATAGATCTAGGCTGAAGTTTGTGACTTGTGTAAGGTCTAATCCAAGGAAAACACCTACAACCAAAAACTTTGAGAAATGAGTAATCAGGTGACTGATGAAACAAAGTTTGAAAAGGAGTAAGATTACTAAGTTTGGAAGTGGGAAGTCTGTTAATAAGAAATACTAAGGTGGCAAGAGCATCAAACCAATAGGACAAAGGAGGAGCAGATTGATGCATTAGGGCAATAGTAGTTTCAATTAAGTGCCTATGCTTCCTCTCAGCTACTCCATTCTGAGCAGGAGTATGAGGACAACTAAGTTGATGTTCAATGCCCTTATCTTTTAAAAATTACTGAAATTTATTTTCTAAATATTCCCCCCCATTATCACTTCTAAGGACTCGAAGCTTAGTGGTAAATTGAGTCTCAACAAAAACCTTGAATTCAACAAACTTAGCAAATACTGCACTTTTGTAAGTTAGAGGAAATAGCCAAGTAAATTTACTGTAATCATCAATGAAAAGAACATAGTACTTAAAACGTGAAACAGATGCATTAAAGGGTCCCCATACATCAGAATGAATAAGAGCTAATGGCGGATTTACAGTGGAATTGGAAAGATGAAATGGCAACCTATGACTCTTAGAAACACAGCAATGTGTGCACAGTTTATTATCATTAGAACTAGGTACATTAGTAGGTAACAAATTTTGAGATACAAGCACTTGCAGCTTATTACTAGAAGGATGACCTAATCTACTATGCCAAGTGCTCTTGCTGCAGGAAGAAGCAGTGGAAGATGTGAAGCAAGTTGTGGAAGAAGTTCCAGGAACAACAGATGAAGCTGAGAGAGAGTAAAGACCAGCTGAGTGAGGACCTTTATGAAGAATTTGCTTGGAAAACTTATCCTGTATAATGAAACAATCAGCATCAAAAGTAATGGTGCAGTTGTTATCTTTTATGAATTGATGAACTGACAAAAGATTGGTAGAAATGGAAGGAACATGAAGCAAATTATGAAGATCGAAAGAAGTACTTGATGTAGGAAGCAAACCATTGCCAGTGTGATGAATTGGCAGAGTAGAACCATCTCCTATAGTAACATGATCAGAACCTTGATAAGGCTAAAATTGAGTGAAATTATTAAGATCATTGGTGAAATGAGTTGTGGCTCCAGAATCTAAGAACCAATTTGAACCAAGGACAGATGCAGTAGAAGCAGACTGATATTCTGGGATAGATGCAGCAGAGGCAGACTGAAACTGAAAATCTGGAGCAGCAGAAGTGGTTGAAGAAGAGGTAACATAGGCTTTAGACTGTGATCCCATTCCTTGTAAAGAAGAGGAGTGAAAAGCTTGATCCATTCTGTGCCAGCAATCCATGGCTGAGTGGTTTGATTTTCCATAAATTTGACAAATCAGTCCATGTTGGTCTGAATGATGCAAAAATGAAGATGATCTGCCTTGTCCTCTACCTCTATAGGTGTTACCTTGTCCTCAACCTCTGTAAGTATGTTTATAAAATTTGCCTGAATTTCCTGAGTCTGAGTTGTTACCTTTAGATCTCCCTCTGATGTAACCTCTAGAACTCCCTCTAGAATAAGTTCTGTTAGCAGCATAAGCAAATGGTAGATCTGATGTGTGTGTTTGTTTCAGAAAGCCTTCAATGTGAATGGATTCAGAACATAATAAGGAAGACAAGGCAGTAATAGAGATAGGTTCAGATCTGGTACGAATGGATGTTTTAAAGGCATTGTATTCATCAGGTAATCCATTCAGAGTAAGTAAAACCAGATCTTCATCATGAATTGGTGAGCCAGCAAGACTGAATTGATCAGAAATAGTCTTGATCTGACAGAGATATTCCTCCATTGTTGAATTCTTCTTGGTAAGATGACTAAGTTTAGTCTTCAATTGATGGACATGTGACCTAGACAAGGAGGTGAATTGTGCAGCTAATGTAGTCCACACTTCATGACTAGTGATACAATGAAGAACAGAGGTGTATATGGATGAAGATAGTGTAGCAGTAAGGCAACTGAGTAAATGTGCATCAACAGTGATCCAGTCTGTGTATTCTGGATTTACTACAGCATTACAATTCTCATCAAGAACTGTGGAAGAATGACAGATCTTTGAGCCATCAACAAATCCAAGTAGATTTGTAGCTCGTAAGATGTTTTGGAATTGACTTCTCCATATCAGATAATTTGTAGACTCAAGTTTTATTGGAACAAATGAATTCAGATTGGAAATGAGCAGAGTGAGATTTGAAGGTAAAGAAGAATTGGTAGTTATACCAGATGAAGAAGCTGCCATTGTTGTTGATCTTGCTTGCAAATCTGCCATTGTTGTTTCTTGACGAGGATTCACCATTGA